AAGAAGAAGAAGAAGAAGAAGAAGAAGAAGAAGAAGAAGAAGAAGAAGAAGAATGCAATGTATACCATCTGTAGTTGTACACGTAACAATAAAATACTTTTTTGTCCTTCTTCATCAATCGTATAACATAAAACTTGAGTTCATAATCCTTTCGCCCTGAATGGCACCATGAGAAAGGAACAATTCCATCTCTCAGCACCTCGCTACACGCCAGCTAACCTGACTGTTTTCTTAGCGTGCACAAGCCTCTCGTCGACACAGCATCGGAGGCCGGAAAAAGTAAAGTACAGTAATCAGTAAACAAACGATATTTAGCATTGATTTCTTTGTAACTAGAACCTTAGCTAGGCTGGTAATTGACTATATGACCTCCTTTGTTTGGTCCCTTTCCTTGATACAGTACTCTCTTTAGTTTTACTCCAAACACTCTATTAGACAAGCTTCGAGGCGAGGCGTTGAGACGTTTTCTAATGGACAGGATACAATGTATATATAGTGAGGGTGGTTTTTAATTTATAGTTGCTGAGTGAAAATTAATCAAGACTCTCCTTCCCTAGTGTGCTTTTTCAACAGTGGTGATGATGAGGATGATGAGGATGATGATGATGATGGTGACGATGATGATGATGACGATGATGATGATGATGATGATGATGATGATGATGATGATGATGATGATGATGATGATGATGATGATGATGATTTTTTTTTTGTGTCCTTAATGGACCTGACGGACTTCACGAAGAAATCTTCGAGCGAGAGCGAGGCTCTTTTTCGGCTCCATTGTTAACATGCTTAGCGGCACTTCCACTCGTCCAAATAACTCCATTCGTATTGCCATTGTTCCTGGACATTCAAAAATATGTTTGACATCCTCCTTTTCATGGCCGCATCTTTGGCAGCATGGGCTGAGCATTTCATTTACAAAGTTCTTATACCATCTTAAACTCCAATGATGGTCCGACCGCAGTCTCGCTAGCTCAACCTGGTCCCAGCGACATGTGTTAAATTTTTGTTCCCGCTTATAGGAGTACCCAGAATACATATCTTCTAGGTGCTGGTATATAGCTCTACATGGTGGGTCTCTGATTTTCCTCTTGAAAATTAATCAAGACTCTCCTTCCATAGTGTGCTTTTTCAACAGTGGTGATGATGAGGAGGAGGAGGAGGAGGAGGAGGAGGAGGAGGAGGAGATGATGATGACTTTTTTTGTTTCCTTAATGGGCCTGACGGATTCCACGAAGGAATTTTCGAGCCAGAACGAGGCTCTTTTTCGAATCCATTGTCATTATACTCAGAGGCACCTCCACTCGTCCAAATAACTCCATTCGAGTTGCCATTGCTCCTGAACATTCAAACATATGTTTGACATTTTAGTTTTCATGGTTGCATCTTCGCAACGTGGGTTGAGCTCTTCATTCGCAAAGTACTGATACCATCTCATGCTCCAATGACAGCCCGACTGCAGTCTCGTTAGTTCTACCTGGTCCCAGCGACATTTGAATAATTTTTCCTGCTTATTGGAGTACCCAGAATACACATCCTCCAAGTGTTTGTTCTCAGCTCTGCATGGTGGGTCTCTGATTACCCTCTAGATCATTGGAAAGACTCCGCTGTATGCTATTGGTCGTCTGTCTCCTCCTTTCTCTCTGACTTCATTGGCAGCTTGGTCTGTCGACTCAATTCCTTCCATTCCAAGATGGCTTGGAATCCACTGGATCTTTATTGTGGCTGTGGTTTCACTTTACTTGCGGCTCTAATCATTTATATCTGAGCTGTTGCCTTAGCAGCCCCTTTCAGTCAAGATCAGCACATTGGTCCTACTGTGGAAATTGTGAACAATTCATTGGGTAGCAGACACCATTGCCTGGCACTTCTAATCATAAGATGATGTGAGGAATGCAACTTTTGCTCGAATTATTTCTGTTCGTCGGGGCTCATCCTTCATTAACACTATTGCTGTTTCTCCACCTTCGCGGTATCCTGCGACAGCCGATCCATCAGTGAAAATTGTCATATCGGCACCAACTTCTTTGATCATATCCTCTGCAGCTTCACGTGCCTTTACAGGATCATCACCTTTGCTCTTCACTCCTCTCAATTCTGTCCGGCTTTCGATTTCGCCCTGGGTCTCCCGTGGACAAACTCTCACCAGATTGATTGGCCATCGATTCTCTGCTTTAGGGAGGAGGTGGTCTGTAAGGTTGGTGCACATCCAAAACCAACCTTTCCTGCTGTTTGTTGACTTGACTGCTTGATCAAGGGCTTTCTTTCTAGGATCGCTGTCTGGTAATAGCTTAGCCATCTCTACAGATTTGAGGCATGTTCTTTTTTGTGTAGGTGGCGTCGGTGGCCTAGTGGTTAGGCTCTTGGACTCGCAACCGTAAGGTCGTGGGTTCGAATCCCGTCAGGGACCCGACGTTGTGTCCTTGGGAAAGGCACTTTGCACGAAATTTTCCTCACTTCACCCAGGTGGGAATGGGTACCCGGCTATAGACAGCGAAAGATCTTGTCAGTTTGTTAGTGTTTGAGCGCTTAATCAGCTGCTTGCACTGTATGCTTCCCGGGAAGCTGAGAATTTTTCGGAGTGTTCTATGGTCTGCTGGGGTAATAATATAGTGTAAAGCGCATAGGGCCTGCTGTTGAGCGGGGATATGCGCTATACAAATGCTATCTATAATTATTATTATTATTATTAAGTGGTGTAGTGCTCAGCCCTGGTCTCATAGCGCAGTGCTTCTGTTGGTGTTGTTTTCAGGTGACCTGATCCAAGGCGGAGGGCTTTGTTTTGTATTCTGTTCAGGGCCGATGCACTGGTCTCACTCAGCCAATGTTGCCACACTGGGGCATCATGATCCATCTTGCTTTTTTGCAAACATCTGATATACCTTCTTGAGCGACTCCTGACCCCAGCCCCATTTTGAGTTGCTGACAGCGCGGATCATCTTCATTTTTGAGGTTGCACTTTTGGACACTTCCTCAATATGCTTGTTGAAGGTTAGCTGTCTACAGAGATAGACGCTCAGCTGGCGAGGAGCGGGTTTGAATGGTACCTTTTTCCCTTTGATCTGAATAAGTGGTTGCCATGTTGCTTCATTAACCCACGTTGAGAAGAAGTACACCTCACTGTTGGTTGCATTGAAGGTAAGTTTCACTGATGATGTCATGTGTTTCAAATGTGTAAATAAAACTGCTCATTTTTACCTACTAATACTTATCAGTATATATATGCCAGGGAGAAACCTAAAACCTTCAAACGATAACACCCTACTTGTGACACCCGTTAAATCGTACAAATCCTATGGAGAGAGATATTTCTCATATCTTGGTCCATTTATTTGGAACAGATTACCCATGGAACTAAGACAAACAGCAACACTTAATAGTTTCAAAAGACATTGTAAACATTTTCTGTTCCTACAGGCCTATCCTTCATAAGGTTTTAGCGTAATTTTTTAATAGTTGTTCTAAGCCTACGTCTAAATGAAAATAGTCAGTGTGTGTATGTGTGTGTGTGTGTGTGTGTGTGTGTGTGTGTGTGTGTGTGTGTGTGTGTGTGTGTGTGTGTGTGTGTGTGCGTAAATATATATTATATTCCTTAAGAAGAAAGGAGGTAGTAAGAAAGGTTTTGAAAATGGTTATTCCAATGTAAAACGCTTTCAGCTAGCTTTATGGAAATGCGCTATATTAATGTTATATATTATTTATTTATTATTTGATGATGATGATGATGATGATGATGATGATGATGATGATGACGATGATCGACCAATGAATGACTTACCAACACAACTCCTCTGACCAATACTGAAAGGGATCCAACTCTTTTGCCTCGGCTGCGCCGGGGAACAGCGACTCATGACGTCATTTTACCGGGGAACAGCGACCGGGGAACAGCGACCGGGGAACAGCGACTAGTATTTTACTATATTTCTTTGTTACAGTTGAACTTGGAGTAATCGCCTACAGTATCGAATACAATTAGACCAAACATGTAACATTTCGTCTCGATTTCAGTAAGCTTAACTAAAGCTCAGTGAAATCTCCCGCCAATCTGTTCCTAAGGAGGAACAAAAAAAGAGAGAAGTTGATCTCAGCGTAAAGCAATAAGGAGATGTCGCAGGGAGAATTTTAAAGAAAAATTTATTTTAAAATGCTGTCAGCTCAGTAGCAAGTTTGAAAACCGTCTCTAGAATGTTCTTAAAGTTTGAACTTTTTTTCTCTCTTTTTGCATTGTCCTCTTCAGGTGGATGTTATCATTTTCAGTTTAGATGCAGCGATTGCAATTCTCCGTTTCATCTTGATTGGTTTATCATACTCAACACGATCATACTCTTACTCACATGATCACACACACACACACACACACACACACACACACACACACACACACACACACAAACACACACACACACACACACACATAGACAATCACATACATTTATATAGGTTTTATTTTATTAAACATACAATATGTAGGTGTGTCTATCAACAAAGTACAAATACAATGAAAAAAAATCACCAAACAAACTGACAAGTAAACAAACAAACACGCACACGAATTTTAAAGGGAGTCATTAATTTATGAAGCATTGATGTACGTGTGTGTATCATTAAAGCAAAAATAAGATGAAAACAAAAAACCAAACAAACAAACAAATAAACAAACATGCAAATGGATTTATGATGGAAGTCGTTTTATGGAGCATACATGTACGTGTGTGTATCAATAGTGTAGAAATGGAGAGACCAAAAAAAAAACAGAAAAAGAAACAAAAAACAACCAGACAAATACAAAACACACTGGCTCACGAATTTCCACTTGGGATCATTTCACAGAACATAGAAATACAAGATCATGTACATGTATGTATTGTGTATCGGTTTTTAAAAAGATCCCAGGAAGATCATTACAAAACAGAACAATCAGAACCAAACACACGGAGCTCTCATGGTGTAGAGGTACGCGTTCGCTTTACATTCAATAGGTTCCAGGTTCGAAACCTGACAGCGACGGAAACATTTTTTTTTCTCTAAAATGTTCTCTTTTCACCTCCTTTCCTTTTCTCTAGATATGTTCTGTCGTCTGCTTTCATCTCCACTTTCTCGCTCTAACACGCCCACCCCCGGCCAGTGGGCTCCTCCTTCCTTTGCTCCTGACTATACCTACAAGTACTGCTTCTCCTTGCTCCTTCTTACTACTGTCTTTCAGCCTCACATTCCTGATCTTAGGGTAGCAGTGATCGAACTTTTGGCTCTCTCGAAAGGAAAAAAAATCTCGGAGGTCCCATGTGCAAGCTGCGAACTTTAAGCTCTCTTGGTGGTTCTAAACTCGATAAGAGTAGGCTTCGCCGCCACCAAGGCAAAATTCAAAATTAATTCATACCAAAACCTGACAATTCTCTAGTCAGTAGAAAGTGATAAAGAGTACCTTCCAAATCTGAATGTGGCTGCCTGAAAGCAAAGGGCCCTACGAAGTACGAAAAGCGGTCATATTCGTAAAAATCAATTGTACTGCAGGTTGAAGAACCCGCAGTCGACTTCTCTAAAGATCTAGTGGAGGAGGAGGAGGAGGAGGAGGAGGAGGAGGAGGAGGAGGAGGAGGAGGAGGAGGAGAAGGAGGAGGAGGAGGAGGAGGAGGAGGAGGAGGAGGAGGAGGAGGAGGGAATCAAACGTCAGAACAACGTAATTATCCTGAGCATGATGCATAGATCAGTCAGAGGTTCCTAGTGCTAAGCGTGAGCTTGACATTGTGTTTACTTTTAAAAGGGTAACAGTGACCAAACAATGCTTCCTACTTTGTAGAATCAACCACGATGGTAGTATCCATCGTTTTCTTAATGAGCATAGGAGAAAAGCATCTGTCGTTGGTGACAGTACATGATGAGTAAATGGAGTACGAACTTTTTTCTTTTTTTTCGGGGTGGGGGGTTCACAATGTTTTTGCTCGGAGTACGTGCCATGGGGAAAGGCTGAGCGTTAGGCAGCTATTTGAGTAAATATGGGCTCATCTAACAAAGAAGAGTTGGATTTCTTACACCCAGTCACCAGATGTAAGTTGAGCACATGTTTTACTGTACAGTGGCGTCCAAAAGAAACTTGAAACTGTAATCACCCAATCATTGTGTTAAAACCTTGCACAATTTTGCCAAGCCTGATTGTTTACGGTCAATTTTGAGTGACCATAGTATTATATCGAGCAACTCTTAACATAGATGAAATATTATTATGTCAGATGATGCAGAATTTATTTAGCTTTGAATTGGTATGTTGTATGAGTAGGTAGTTTAAGGCTTTAACCCGATTATTGGGTGATTACATTATCAAGTTTCTTTTGGAACCCACTGTATAATACATGTGCGGGTGTGTTACACCCAGTTGTCGGTCAAAGGGATATAAATAGGTTGCCGTGAAAAGGGTTAATATGTAAAGCCCAAGTAACTCTCAGCGACAAATCGTATTACATTCTTCGTATAGTAGAACTGTCAGATTTATCAAACTCCATATTCTGTTTAAACATTCCATTTTATAGTGTCCAATTCCCTTTAAATTGGGGGAGATTCCTTCTTCTTGAGCCAGATGACTCTTCGCAACAGTTTGCCTGCATTCTGTGTGTTGTTACTCAACAAACGTAAAAAGAGGCACACGAAGTTATTAGTTGCAAAATTCTAATGACACAAGCTCTCCATACGCCCTCTCTTAATAATTTGTTATTGTAGTCTCTGGACTTAATCGTCCACAGACATTCGAGGGATCTGTAGGCCTCTACATCTCAATAAAGAGAATAAGAGATTCTTTCGACCAAGTCACAATAGGCCTACTGCACACTGTACAGCGACTGTGCAGTAGTTGATAGTAGATATCTAGTGTGCAGTGTGTAGTCCTAACAGCTTTGACGTCAGATGCACTTACAACGCACTGGGTGACCTTGATACCTGACTTTAGATTGAAAATAGACAATTGACAAAAAGTTTGCTCAAGTTTTAAAATATGGCATCAAATCAGGTTCTACGTGAGCCACTTTGCTTATTTTGATATGCCGATTAGTGATGGGCAGGTATCGATACCAGGTACTCGATACTTAGATACCTATAGGTATCGATATCGGTACCGATACCTGCTCTAAAAATCGATACCTAGGTGTTATTTATCCCAGGGCTGCCAGGGCAAGTGACTTGGGCCTTGAGAATTTTTTTTTAATCAAAACCGATAAGTTTTCGTAGGGGGCAAGCGTTTTAGATAAATCTAGTTTATTTTTTAACAAAAAGAGAGAAGCTTTTCATGAAATGTATCTAGTGATTTTGCAAAATCCTCACTGACAACCCTGATTTATCCTCATTGGTTTAATTTAAAGTTGCTAAAAATCTGGTAAATTGAATTGCCTTTTTAGAACTCTTGTGTTTTTATTTTCCAATACTAACATTTTCTGCAAAGTTGACTTTCCTCCCATACTTCACTTAATTTTTGTTTTTATTCTCATATTTGGGTATCTCTCTCTCTCTCTCTCTCTCTCTCTCTCTCTCTCTCTCTCTCTCTCTCTTTTACAAATAATTTTTGTTTGAGTCTCAGCTAAATAGTCACAACTTGTCTAGACACGATTACCTAAATACTTGGAAAAGTATAGTTGTATTTTTGTCTTTACTTATTACCCCCGGCGTATGTTACCAATAGCATAAGGTATCGAGGTATCGGTATCGATACCTTGAAAAAGTACTAGGTATCGACATCGATTCCTAAATTGTGGTATCGGCCCATCACTAATGCCGATTTCGAAAATGAAATCAGTTTTTAGCTGCGATAATTATTTTGAAAATTCTGCGCGCAAAGTTTAATCCCGCGCGGCGGCAAACATCAAAGGAATTTTGCGTCACAGCCTCCCATGTGTCACTTCACACTGAAAGGGGGGGGGAGGGGGGGTCTATTATGAGATCAGTTAAAAGTGACTGTTGTCTGTCCTCTTTATGATAGGAAAATACTACTAAATGCAATCTTGGTAGAATCTATATAATACTTCTTTTTGTGATCTTCTAAATCCAGCAAGAAAAACGGTCAACCGCGAATTATTTGGTTAATTTGGACACGCTGGTTCCGAATTTGATATTATTTTTACGATTAGACATAGTTATAAAGGTTTTATTTAAAAATCTTTTTGTCGGGCCGCGGGTGTATCGATACCATCATCAATACCATCACGACGAGATATTCGCTTAGGGCAGTCGCTGTTCCCCGCACAAATTTTTTCCTGTTTTTAAAAATAGAGCTGTTCCCCGTGCTCCGTTTTGCCTCACGGAGGGGTTTTCCCTTGCCTTGTCCAGATATCTCTCCGGAATGAAGCTGTCAGGCTGATCCCAGTTATTTGGATCTCGAAGTATGGCATACTGGTTTACCATTATCTTGGTTTTAGCAGGAATGTCGAAGCCCCCATGAGCTGAAAAAGATAATTTTATGTTTACTTGTCGGGTGTCTGCTCTTGATGGGAACTGAACTCACACCAAAAGAGAGTTGTAAAACTCACCACAAAATGAAAACACAGTCCCACTTCTGTATACGACGGTATATACTACATCAAACTTCTAGTTTTACTATCATCTATTCTTA